CTTGGCACACTGCAGCCTCCCCCTCCTGAGTTCAAGCGATTCTCCTCATGCCTCAGCCTCCCAAGTAGCTGGGATTACAGGCACCCGCCACCATACCCAGCTAATTTTTTGTATTTTTAGCAGAGATGGGGTTTCACCATGTTGGCCAGACTGGTCTGGAACTCCTGACATCAGGTGATCCACCCACCTCAGCCTCCCAAAGTTCTGGGATTACAGGCATGAGCCACCACACCCAGCTAATTTTTGTATTTTTAGTGCTAATTTTTGTATTTTTAGTAGAGACAGGGTTTCGCTATGTTGGCCAGGCTGGTTTCAAACTCCTAAGCTCAGGCAAAAACACCTGCCTTGGCCTCCCATAGTGCTAGGATTATAGGCATGAGCCACCGTGGCTGGCCAGCCATGAACAGTTTTGATGGGGCAGCCAGGGAACTGGCCCAGGGCTGTGGGATTCAGGTGGGGTCCAGGAGCACAGGACAGACTGGGAAGCACTCTTAGGACTCTGCTGGTGCAAAGGAAGGGCTGCAAAAAGGGGCCTGGAAGTGGATTGAAGCACAGGGACTGGCACAGAGGCAGAAGATGCCCTGACAAGGACGGGGTAGTGCTTCAGTGGGGATCTAGGAGATCTGAGCCTGACCAGAGGCCTTGATGGGTCAGAGGACAATGAGCTCAGTGAGGGCATTTGTCATTCCCTCCCACATATTATCAGAGTTGGTGTATGTGAATAATACAAGTGATGGTATGTCATTTCTGAAATTAGATTATAAAACTATTTGCACCTCCATCTTGGTTAGTCTCTCCCTCCCTCTCAAGCCAGCTGCCATGTCTTGAGCAGCACTATGGAGAGGTCCACGTGACAAGGAACTGAGGCTTTTGTCAGCACCCACTTGAGCGAGCTTGGAAGCTGATCTTCCAGCCCAAGGCAAAGCTTCAAGTTACTGCAGTTGGGGCTGACATCAGGACTGCAACCTCATGAGAGATTCTGAGCTAGAACCAGAAACTAAGTCATTCTCCAATTCCTGACTCCCAGAAATTGTGCAAGATAACAAATAGTTGTTGTTTTAAGCTGCTTAGCTGTAGGGGTAACTTAATAGCAATAAACAAATAATACAATCCAGCCTTCCATCCATCTCTTAGGTTGTCGGGAAAGCCCTCAGGGAGCCTGGCTCCCCGGCTCTGGCCTTCAGAGCACTCTGCTCCCACATTCAGTGTCTGAGTGGTGTGCCTGAGTTGGCTTCTACTGGCTCATAAGTGCTGAATGTTATTACATGTTCAGGAATTTTGTGAGCCAGATGATGTCACATTGACAATTTGAAATCAGCCATGGTGGGAGTTTTTATGCCATGTAAGAGACAAATGCTACAAATCACTTCCCTCCCCCAGCCAATTGCTACAAATCACTTTCCTCCCCCAGCCATTTACCAGCACACCACTGCCCTTAATTACTCCCATCTCCGTCTCTTTAAAATATTATGTATTTCAAGTTTAAAGACTAACATAACCACCTGTATACTAATCACCCACTTAAGAACTGAGGCGCTCATCAATTCAATGTCCCCCAAACCTCTCATTTCGTGACTGCTTCCTTTCCTACCTGAAACAAATCATCATTCTGAATGTTCTGTTTATCAATGGCATGCATTTTTTGTACTTTCACTATATACAGATGTGTTCCTAAACAATACGTAGTACTATACTTTGTGACAGTGGTGGGTACTACACATTTTCAAATTTTATACAAATGGCATCTTAGAGTATGTTTTCTCCTGCATCCTGCTTTTTCACCCAATATTGTTTGTGAGTCATGTTGATATGATTCGCTATATTTCATTTACTTTTACTTAAATATAGTATTCCATTGTATGACTATACCATAATTTATTGATCCACTCTCCTGTTGGTGGGCATTTAAGGTTGCTATTTTGTTTTTGCAACTATTAATTAACAAAACAGCTACTTGCATTTTTACTTGTGCCACTTAATACATGTGAAAGTTTCTGTAACATATTTTCCTAGGAATTAAATTGCTGGGTCATAGAGTATACACTTTTTGTTTTTTGAGATGGAGTCTCGTTCTGTTGTCCAGGATTGCAGATGGAGTGCAGTGGCGCCATCCTGGCTCACTGCAATCTCCTCCTCCCAGTTTCAAGTGATTCTCCTGCCTCAGCCTCCTGAGTAGCTAGGATTACAGGCGTGTGCCACTATGCCCCAGCTAATTTTTGTATTTTTAGTAGAGATGGAGTTTCACCATGTTGGTCAGGCTGCTGCTGAACTCCTGACTTTGTAATTCACCTGCCTTGGCCTCCCAAAGTGCTGTGATTACAGGTGTGAGCCACTGCGTCTGGCGAGTACACACTTTTTCAAGTTAACTGGAGAATCCAAATTGCTCACAAGAGTTGCTAAACTTCACATCAAGGATATTTCTAGCAGCTTTATTCATAACAGACCCCAAACTGGAAAGAATTCAAATTTCAATCGATAAAAGAATGCAGAAATAAACTATCTATACAATGGAATACTACTTAGCAACACAAAGGAACAAACTACTCCTACATGCAACAACATGGATGGATGGATCTCACAGGTATGTTGAATGAAAAAAACCAAAACTTCTATGAAGTTTAGAACAAGTTAAATCTGTCATGAAAAGCAGTAAGAATAACAGTACCTCGAGGAGGGAGGTATAAAGTGGGAAGGGACATGATGGAACCCAACGGGGGTTCGAGAGAGATTCTATGTCTTGATGCGGGTGGCAGTCACCTTATGGTATACACTTAAGATTTGTGCACTTTATACACTGTCATCTCCCCATTAAAAGATGTAAAACATAAAAGCACACACCAAAGTAGCTGAACCAGTTTATGCCCTTACTGGCAGTGATCCTGCTATTGGGACAGTGAGACTTGATCATTTTTTCCATTTGAAAAGTGTAGCATGGCATCTGATTGTGGCTTCATTTGCATTTCCCTGGTTACTGATGAGGGTAGATATCTACTGGTATGTTTGTTGGCCATTTGGATTTTCACTCCTGTCAACGGCCTATTCCCATCTTTTGCCCATTTTTCTATGGAGTTGTTTTTTTTTTCCTCACTGATTATAGAAGTTCTTTTTTTTTTTTTGGAGACAGTCTCACTCTATCACCCAGGCTGGAGTGCAGTGGCACGATCTAGGCTTGCTGCAGCCTCTCCCACCTGGGTTCAAGCAATTCTCCTGCCTCAGTCTCCTAAGTAGCTGGGATTACAGGCACCTGCCACCGCACCTGGCTAATTTTTGTATTTTTAGTAGAGATGGGGTCCATCTTGGCCAGGGTGGTCTTGATCTCCTGACCTCATGATCCACCTTCCTCAGCCTCCCAAAATGCTGGGATTACAGGCATGAGCCACTGTGCCAGGCCAGAAGTTCTTATATAGTCTGGAAACAAGTCCTTTGAAGATACATGGATCGCAAATATCTTCTTCCAGTCTATGGCTTGTCTTTTCAAGCTTTCAGCAATATCTTTTAGTAAACCAAAATTTTTAATTCCAGTGTGGTTAAATTTATTATCTTCCTTTATATCCTGTGCTTACTGTTCCTAATTTACAAAATTCATCCACAGGCTGAAGTAAAAAAAATTCTCCTATATTTTCTTCTAAAAAAAATTCTAAGTAAAGCTTTTCAGAATTGTATTTATTTATTATTTTGAGATGGAGTCTTGCTCTGTCATCTAGGCTGGAGGGCAGTGGTGCAATCTTGGCTCACCACAACCTCTGCCTCCTGGGTTCAAGGGATTCTCCTGCTTTAGCCTCCTGAGTAGCTGGGATTACAGGCATGTGCCACCACACCCAGCTAATATTTTAAACTGATCATGTTGGTCAGGCTGGTCTTGAACTCCTGACCTCATGATCTGCCCGCCTCAGCCTCCCGAAGTGCTGGGATTACAGGTGTGAGCCACTGCCCCTGGCCTAGAATTGTATTTTTAACTTACTTTTGTGTAAGATAAAAGGTGGGGCCAATCTACTCTTTTAACCCACTTAAAAGGAACTTGAGAAAAAAAAAAAAAAAACATGGTTTCTTCTGTACAGAGCTTGGCAAAACTTGAACAGGGACTGTGTGTCTACCTTGTGGTCTTGAGCTCCTAAGTGAATTCCTTTTCTTTTCTTTTTTTTCTTTTTTTTTTTTTTGAGACGGAGTTTCGCTCTTGTTACCCAGGAGTGCAATGGCGGGATCTCGGCTCACCGCAACCTCCGCCTCCTGGGTTCAGGCAATTCTCCTGCCTCAGCCTCCTGAGTAGCTGGGATTACAAGCACGCGCCACCATGCCCAGCTAATTTTTTGTAGTTTTTTAGTAGAGATGGGGTTTCACCATGTTGACCAGGATGGTCTCGATCTTTTGACCTCGTGATCTACCCGCCTCGGCCTCCCAAAGTGCTGGGATTACAGGTGTGAGCCACCGCGGTGAATTCACCGGCCGTGAATTCCTTTTCTAATCTTTTGCAACCAGGAAATTATTTTCTCCTGGCAAACTCCTCTCTTCTTTTAGCTCTCTGCCTGCTGTGGAAGCACTGAACACCTGAGCATATACAAGACTACAAGGTCCCTCCTGTCTCCCTGGTACATATATTTAAAATGCAGTCCAGCTAATTATAGTTAGATTTAAAACCTGTATTGTAAGTCTGGGGCTTGACTGCAGAGACAGTGCCAGGCATAGCTGGGCTCAAAGGCTGTTTGTTGACTGGGAGAATAGATAATGCTGCCTATTTGTTCCTGCTACTTCTGCCAGTGACCAGTGTGGGGACCTGAGTAAGTCATTTAATATATTCACCTATGTCACTTTCCATATCCTGCCCAGGGGATTATGGACACCTTCAGACGTGCTATTCTTCCTGTATGACCTGCAGGCCTAGCCAAGTGCAGGCAGGGAGCAAGGACTCACCCACACCTTAGGTCATTACTGTATTTTGTCAAAGTTACCTCTTCCCTCAACATCTGCAGTCAGCTCTGGGGTCATTCACAGAGAAGCACACAAATAAGTGTGTTGGAAGTTTTATTCTCACCTGGTTAGGACTTGAAAGGCTCTGAAACCAGAAGTCTGCCTTGGTTTGAGTCCTTGCTCTGCCACTTTTAGCTGGGAGTCTTCGGCAATTTACGGAACTTCAGTGAGCTTCAGTCTCATCTGCAAAATGAGATAACATAGGTAAAGCACTTAGAACTTTGCCACAAACATAGCAAGTGGTCACTGAAGATGAGCTATTATTATTACCTGCAACAGAAAGTTTAGGAAGACAGATTTTGGGCAGCAGCAATTTCTGTTTCAAGTCTCTTGAAAGATGCCTTTCTTTTCTTATGGTTGAGAGTTTTGAAATATGAAAAGGGCTTCCAGACACCCATTCCCTTGGGCACTATTCTGAGTTTCAGATTCTTATCTTGCTCAGCTTTTGGGTCAGAGAGGAGGAAAGGATGTCAGGGATCACAAACTGGCAGCCAGTGAAGCTGCATGGGGCCCCTGGACATGCTGGGTTTGGCTCTTTTCACTTGGATTAGTAACCAACTTTAAAATTCACATTAAAGGTTTCACTTAAAAAAAAAAAAAAAAAGTACTTCCAGCTTTTCTTGAAAGATCTGGCTGGGCTGGAACCTCATTTCTACATGGTGCTCCCCAGCTAACGGCCCTTTTGGTTGTGCCTTGGACCTTCAGTATTGTCACCCACCCTCACTTGGCTTCTGTGCTGTAGGCATCTGGGTGTGGTACCCTCTCAGAGGACAGGCAGCTGTCCTACCCCCCTTGTGGGCCAGGATAAGACTCAGGGGTAGTCTGCTCCTGGAGAAAACATGGCTCAAGAGGGAGAGGTCTCAGCAAAGTTGCTCCTGCCTTGCCCCTGTGGTCATCATCCTTTCTGCCTGAGAACTCAGCAACCCAAAAAAGCTCCTGCAAGTAGATACACCTACAAGTGAATGGAGACTGGCCAACTCCCACTATCACTCCCTCACAGAGTTCTTTTCTTTCCTTTTTTTTTTTTTTTTTTTTGAGATGGAGTCTTGCTCTGTTGCCCAGACTGCAGTGGCATGATCTTGGCTCACTGCAACCTCCGCCTCCCGGGTTCAAGCAATTCTCCTGCTTCAGCCTCCCAAGCAGCTGGGACTACAGGCGCACACCACCCTGCCCGGTTAATTTTTTGTATTTTTAGGAGAGACGGGGTTTCACCGTGTTAGCCAGGATGGTCTAGATTTCCTGACCTCGTGATCCGCCTGGCTCAGCCTCCGAAAGTGCTAGGATTACAGGTGTGACCCACAGCCCTGGCTGTGGATTTCTGCTCTTAGGCTCACCATCCTTCCCCCATTAATCCTTCTGAAACACTAGACTACACCATCAGTTTCCCCTTTCTCCATCACCTGAGGCAGAAACTGACAGTTACCTACCCAACTCCCTTTAGCCATTAGAGCCAGGCCAGAAAGGCGGCAGCACCATCTTCCCTAAGTGCCAGGAGGATCCCGGAGGATAGTAAGTGCTTATTAAATAGTATCATGATAACCTGACACACGTAAGACAGTTAACAATGCTCAATAAACTCTCGTCCCTTGTTTTCCCCCTTTTATATACAACCTCTTCTTTGAGACGGAGTTTCACTCTTGTTGCCTGGGATGGAGTGCAATGGTGCAATCTAGGCTCACCGCAACCTCCGCCTCGCGGGTTCAAGCGATTCTCCTGCCTCAACCTCCTGAGTAGCTGGGATTAGACAAGCGCCACCAATCCTGGCTAATTTTGTATTTTTTTTTCTTTTCAGTAGAGAGGATGTTTCTCCATGTTGGTCAGGTTGGTCTCGAACTCCCGACCTCAGGTGGTCCACCCAACTCGGCCTCCCAAAATGCTGGGATTACAGGAGTGAGCCACCGCGCCTGGCCTGTCCAACCTCTTCTAAGCCTCCAGTAATACCTTAAAACAGACCTGACAATTGCCAACCCCTTTTACAATGTTTTAAGTTTCCTGCTGCCTGCAGAATAAAGGCCTTTTACAAACCCGGCCCAGGCTTCCCTCCGGCGGTATCAGCTCGCATCATCCTCAGTCCCCGTCAGAGTGAGCTGCTGTGTGCAGTCTTCTCACTCTGCCTTTGCTTGGTCTCCCGCCTGGAATGCCATCTCCGCCTCTGCGCTTGCCTGGGGCTTCCGGTCCGCCCCTGCTCCAGTTGCCCCAGGACGCCTGCCTGGAGCCCTCGCCCTGTCCCTTGTCCTATTTCTGTGAAACTTTCTATTTCGGTCTGTCGGGAGCGTCTGAAGCGGTTTCCCCGGGGAACTCCGGTCCAAAGAGGGCCAGTGATGTCTTTGGAACTTTCTGGAATGTCCTGACTCCCGCGGCCCCCTCTGCACCGTACAGAGCAGTGAGTCTAAGGTAAGTGCGCCTCCTGGAGCCCGGGTGCTATGGTTTGGACCGAGGCTGCAGGGCTGGCTCTCGCCCTGGAGAGATCACTGGAAGAGGAGGAGCGCGGATACGCGGCTGTACTGACAAAGCGATCCCGCCGCTCGCAGGAGCTTGTAAATCGTGCCCTCTTTCGTAAGGGGGTAAGCTGACGTTCAGGGCAGACAACGACTCGGCCAGGGTCACTTAGGTGAGTGGCGCGCTCAGGGTCCCCCAGGGGGCGGCTGCGGCCAGCAGCAGCTGCGGTCCCCGCCGGCGTGCGGGTGGGCGGCAGAGCCCTCCTCGGCCCGGCCTGCAGGGAGGGGCGGGGCGCGCGGGGGCGGAGGCGAGGGCCCGGGCGGGGCCGACACAGGTGCTCCGCATCCGGCCGGGGGGCGGCTCCGAGGAGCTGCTCGGTGGAGCTTCATAAGCTGCCGGGGTGCGGGGCTGCGTGCGGCCCGCTGCAAAAACAGTGCCCACGTGCGTGCGCGTGTCTCGCCCGGCGCCCGGCCGGCCAGCCCGTCAGCCCCGCAGGGCCACACCGGCCCCATGGCGTTCCCGCTGGTAAGAGCCGCCCGCCGCTCGCCTGGGCGGGGCCGCGTCCCGGCCGCAGTAGCTAACGGTCCGCGCGCAGCCGGGTCCGGCGCCACGGTACCCCATCCCCCGCCCCGTGCGCGAGTCCCGGGCGGGGCGCGGTCACGTGCCCGCGGGCGTGGGGCCTCGTGGAGGGGTGGAGGGCGAGGGGGGCAGGGAGCCTCCTCGTGACTCAGGGCCTTTGGGCTTAAAGGCGCCGCAGCCTTGCGGGGGTGGCCGGTGGGGCCTCCTAGCCGCACTGCGGCCTCCGGGCGGCCTCGAGCGTATGTCCAGACGGGAGCTGACCGGACAGAAAGGAGCCCTGGGGCCCAGAACACTTCTTTCTCACACTGCCGTCGCACCCGAAGCCGCTGGCGCTGGCAGCTCACGTCCCGCTGTGGGTCTCTTTCGCGCCCGCCGCGGGGCGAGGGGGAAGCCGGGCGGGGCGGGACGGGGCGGGGCTTCTGACGGCGTAGACCCCGCGTTGTGTGGAGAGCCCCACGACGGCGGCGGCCTCGGCCCCTTTAAGGCGGAGGGATCGAGCCCCTCGTGCGGCTTCCCGGGCCCGGGCAGGTCACGTGGCTTCACACCTTCGCTTGGCGCCGGAACGGGAGTCCTGGGGCGAGGCTGGCCAAGCAGTGTGGCGCGAGGGCGGAAGACTGGCGGGGCTTCGCGCCCGGGAGAGCCGCGGGGCTGTCGGCTTGGAGGTGGGTCCTGGGGCGTGGGTGGGAGAGGGGTAGGCGTGCAGGCCGCGGAGGTGGCGCAGGCGGGGAGCGGCCGGAGCCCGCGCTGCTGCGCTGTCCAGACCCTGCGGCCTGGCGAGCGGGTGCATGTGGCCTCGGCGTTCTGGTCATTCTTCTCAGGGCCGGACGAGGCCAGGTCTCCAGACTCGGGTCCGGACTCGGGTTTGGTGGAGCCGCGGCTGTGGCGCTGGACCGGCCGCTTCCCTTGACGAACTGGTTGGGCGGGCCTGTGCCCGCCTGGAGTCACCCGGGAGTTGGGGGAACTCACCCGCAAAGGGGCTCTCACCTTGGGGTGTCCCAGCCGGCGTCATTCCCCGGGGCTTTTTCTTCTCTCGTGGGTTCCTCTGCGGTCGAGTCGACCGAGGCTTTGCTGCCTCCTCCTAGGGGGCCCCGGGAGGCCAGAAGGCCCTGGGAGCGGCCCCGCGCTGGCCCCGGGACCCGACCGAGAAAAGCCAGGCGGGCGCCTGGGCCTTCGGGCGCCTTCGTGGGCGCGCGCTTGAGCTCTCGGTGGCGCTTTGCTCCCTGCAGGCCTGGGCCCTTGCACCGTGCTGTCAGCTAGGGTTCCCCCCGTGGGGAAGAGTCGGGAGCGGAATCCGCCCTTAGAAGCCGGGGTGCCTCCCGCCAGGCCCGCCCGGGAGAAGGCCGCGTCCCTCCTCCCCCGCCCCGCGCCTGCAGCCCGGCCCTGACTGACGCCCTGGTTCTCTGGCAGCCGCTTCCCTTGGTCTCCCTGGCTACCGCCCTGCCTCCCCGCAGTCTTCTGGCACCTGAGTCAACCACTGGGCTGCGTGGTTGATGGGGACCAGGGGCAAGTGGGTGGGGTTCCTATTCTGGAAGGCACAGGTGCACCGCCCGCCTCTTGGCTCCCCCTCAGGTGACGGGGCTGTCCCTGGCCAGCGGGAAGAGTGTCTGCTGAGGACCGTTTGCTCCCTGAGACTCGTGTTCCCTTTGAGTCTAGGGACACACGTGGGTTAAAAAAGAAAACGTTCAAACAGAACCTAACCTTGCAAACCTCAAGTTGCTGATTGTTTTCCCGATTGGTTTTTTGCAGAGTTAGAAAGCTTGTGGAGCTCAGGGGACTGTCGGAAAACCCTGGGGACCATGTTTTTGGGACTCATCGCCGGTCTTTTACTTGTCCCCATTGAGCTGGCTTGGAGCTGAGCTATATTCTCAGAGCACGTTGCTATAGAGTTTGGCTTTTTAAATTTTTTGTCACGGCGATTTGAACTTTGGGTGGCCTGGTAGCACCTGCTCAGTTTATAGAAACAGGGTTTGGAAGTTGACTATTCTGTGTGTAAGTGAACTTTTGTGACATAAAAATCTTTGGCTTCCCCCCTCCGAAGGCTCGCTGATAAACAACTCCCTGGCCTAGGCTCCCGAGAGTGGGAGGGAGGTCGTGCCAGCCTGTGCAGCACGTTGGAGGTCGGAGAGCTGAGGCCCGTGGTGAATGATGCTGGGAACGTTTGCAGTTTGGGTTAGGCCATAGGCATGTGCTAGAGGAATGGTTCCATGGGCTTCTCTTTCACTGTAGTGCACAGACCAGTGCCCGTGAAGGGAAAAGTGGAGGCGCATGATAAAGTAGTAAGACTCCAGGCTCAGCATCAAACTTAGCTAGTGAGCTAATGAGAATAACTACCGTAATAAGCATTTTCACGAGCGCAACCATTGATTGTGTTCTGAATCTTTAAAATGGGTTGCAAACTCAAACCCTGCAGGGGCCTGAAGTAACATAAGTGAGCAGAGGAGGACGAAGGAAAGGTAATGGCTACTGAGCTACAGAGTTTGTTTCTCTGAAAGGAGCAGACGCTAGCTGATTGTTGGCTATCTCTATTTTGATAAGTGTAGCATTAAAAAAATTTTAAACATGTCTTTAATGTTGGATTCAACCTGAAGGCTAGTTTGGAGTCTGTCTTAAAATATCCCTGTTGGATTTTCCTATTTTGCAGAAAAGGAAATAGGCTTAGAAGTCAAGTCACAAGGCTGTTAAGTGATGGAATTGGGTGTCAACCTAGGTCTTTCTGGTGCCATAGCCCAGCCTATTATGTTATGTGTGTTCTGTTATGTCAGAGGAACAAGGGGTTATTGGTGACGTACACTGTAGAAGAGAGGTAGTGGTCTGGGAGCTGGTCACATTTATAGGCAAAGTGAACGTTAACTGCATTGGCAGGAATCCCAGTTGCTGTAGAAGTCAGTGTGGGTCTTCTGAGTGTTAGTACAGCAGCGCTGATGTCGGGAGGAATGTGCTGCGTCTATCATTCCACAATGTATGTCAGGGCAGTTAGCTGATCCTGAGAGCTGGAGGTCTGGAGAAGGCAGGCTCCTCCCACTGTGGGGGTGACCCTCCCAATCCTCTACACAAAAGACTCCTTTTTTCAGGACAGTTAAAATTTCAGTAACTTTTTCTGTCTGAGGCAAGGCAAATTTGAAGTTATATACTTGTTTTAGGAACTGTAAGAGTAAAATGGTGCTTACTAAATCTCACCTTGTCTGTCTTAGCTAAAATTTCCATAATGCTGTTTCTTAGATTTCCAGGAAGAATTAATAAAGGGTTAAAAAGAAGAACTTTTTTAAAACAGCATGTGGTAAAATCTTCTAAGATAAGCTCCCAGGGCATAAAATGACCCTGCCACAGAAATGAGGGGCTGAAGTTTCAATTCTGGATAAACCTTAGAATTCCAGCATTGTACACAGCCACAGTTGCTCATGTAAAGGGGTATACACATTTTTTTTCCTCTATTGCATTCCCATTTTTTTTTTTTTTTTTTTTTTTTTTTTGACAGCCTCGCTCTGTCACCCAGGCTCGAGTGCAGTAGCGCAATCTTGGCTCACTGCAACCTTTGTCTTGCAGGTTCAAGTGATTGTTCTGCCTCGACCGTGGGAGTAGCTGGGACTACATGCATGCACCACCGTGTCCAGTTGATTTTTGTATTTTTAGTAGAGACAGGGTTTCACCGTATTGGCTAGGCTGGTCTTGAACTCCTGACCTTGTTATCTGCCCGCTTCGGCTACCCAGGGTGCTGAGATTACAGGCATGAGCCACAGTGCCTGGCCTGAGCCACAGTGCCAGGCTGCATTCCCAAGGATTTAAAGGAGTGGAAAGCATATTCAGAGCTTTTGCAAAAGAATTTTTTTTCAGTGAGAATGCAAATTCAAACACAAGCTAGATAGCTTTCTTTCTTGTGTCCTAGAAAGTTTTTGGAAAGATGGAAACTTTAAAGTGTTACTTACCTCTAGCTGCTTCTTAGCAACCTTTGCCAGCCAAGCACTCAGCTATGAGTTCACTGTTTGTGGATTTGGGGGCGTGGAGTGTGCTGGGAAGGGTGAGGTGACTAAAGCAGCTCTCTGCTGGTATTAATATTGTCACATTTATAATGTTAGGTGTTGTCTGTGCACACATTCTCATTCATTGGTTTCAGGTCCCTTAGTTAAATAATCATTTTCTAAGGTTACATTTATTTTAAGGGAAAATTAATTAGTGTGCTTGTACTTCTGGCTTACAGTTTGAGATAGAAATGCACACCACACCTAGGTATTAATGTTTAGACTGTTGTCTTTAGTAGCTAGTGGTGGGGGCAGTAAAAGGATCATGGGATCAAATAAATTATTTTCTCTGCTGTGGAGTAGTTGTGCTAATCTTATCCTGTTCTGCAAATCTGCTTTTCTGAGTCAGTATATAAACTGTACTGACTTTGGGGAGAATTTGCCAGAAAGCCCCCGAGGCTTAAGGGTAGGAAGGGGTTTGAACTTGAAGGTTGTGGTGGAGGTAGTTATATAGATAATTTTGCTTCTTTTGTTCGAATTAAGACCAAGAAGCTCTGATTGCACCCTTTACCATTTCTTAAGCCTTTTAAGATTCTGTTATTATCATTTTTTTGTGAGAAGGTCTCACTCTGTCCCCCAGGCTGGAGGGGTCAGTGGCGCAATGACAGCTTACTGCAGCCTAAAGCTCCCTAGCTCAACGGATCCTTCAGCCTCAGCCCTCCAAGTAGCTGAGACTACAGCCATGCACCGACATGCCTGGCTAATTAAGAAATTTTTTTTTTTTTGAGATGGGTTTTGACTATGTTGCCCAGGCTGGTCCTGGGCTCAATCTATCCTCCTGCCTCAGCCTCCCAGAGTATTGGGATTACAGGTGTGAGCCCCCATGCAGGCTCTTTTGTTTGTTTTTTTGTTTTTTGAGATGGAGTCAAGCTCTGTCATCCAGGCTGGAGTGCTGCGGTGTGATCTTGGCTCACTGCAACCTCTGTCTCCGGGGCTCAAGCAATTTTCCTGCCTCAACTTCCCGAGTGGCTGGGATTACAGGCGCCTGCCACCATGCCCAGCTAATTTTTGTATTTTTAGTAGAGATGGGGTTTCACTGTGTTGGCCAGGCTGGCCTCGTACCCCTGACCTTGTGATCTGCCCACCTCCCAAAGTGCTGGGATTACAAGCGTCAGCCATGGTGCCTGGCCTCATTCAGGCTCTTAAAGCCTTTTAGCCATTGTGAACTCTGCTTCCTTTGCCTCCCACATTGCAGTTTTGGAAATGCCTTTAGTTTTTTTCCTGCTATTGTTGCAGCCTGTTTTTTAGTTCCTGCTTATCAGAGTGTCTCATCTTCTGAAAGTTTTTATGTTGAAGATAGGACCTGCCCCAATAGTGCATTTCTCAATTATAGTAAACTAGTTGAAAAAGATTGAACTAAAACATGCATGATGTATGTGATATATC